CATCCTCAATGTACAGGATGTAACCAAAACATCACCACCCCCATCCTCAATGTACAGGATGTAACCAAAACATCACCACCCCATCCTCAATGTACAGGAAGTAACCAAAACATCACCACCCCCATTCTCAATGTACAGGATGTAACCAAAACATCACCACCCATCAAGTTTTTCATTCACTCTAATGTTTTGAAATTTAATCCAAGACTTATTTTTCAACTATAAATCCTACATATAAGATTAACAAAGAATGTATGCTACTCACTCTAACCTATACTTTCCATTAAGTTTAGTTTTATTTTACAGTTTTCTTCTTCAGCTGTAACAAACTAATAAACCAATACAAAGAAAAGGCTACTTCTACGATTTCTCCTTCTAGCTACTCATCGATAGAAAAGAAAAACATTTTTAAATATAAAAATAAGCTTTTAAATAATAAAAAGAGAATAGTTATATGTAAGCCTAAATTTTCATCCACATTTTAAAATTTTCTGTATACATTCCATAATTCCATTAACCTAACTACTAATGGTCTTGCTCAGAAGGATCTTATGATATCCAGCTTGCAAAAAGTGGAACAAAAAAAAACGCATCAAGAACAAAATCAAAAAGTGTATTCTTTAAGGTAAATTAAAATTATTATTGCCGAGAGCATTTACTAGAAATGAAAAACTTATTATAAAGTTTATCTTAACACAAAGCTACATAATGGGCTATCTTTAATGTGACAGCCATAGGAATCAAGCCACCAAATTTTTATGTTATAAGCCCTCGAGGAGACAGACACTTAAAGTAATCTTGGCTAGAAACACAGATTTTTCAACTTGCTTCAATATTGCTTTTTCTCAAATTTAAAGTTAAAAGGACTTTAATCTGTGAATTTAATCACAGTACATGTGTATTTGCAATGTCTCACCTCAAAAGAAAAAATGTGTCAACAGAAAAAGTTCCTTGTAAAATAACTTGAAATGTCCATTTATCTACCAGCTTCAAGCCTTCTAACGTGTTCTCTACAGATAGACATAAACCAGAAACATTACTAAAGTAAAATGGAAAATATTTTCTACTTAATGAAAATAAATCAAATATGAAATTAATTACAGATTTCTATCCAGTCTTCTAAAAGAAAAAAAAATTGAAAGCTGTTTCAAACTTCAAAGATTTTATAACTACTTATATACATCTTGAGCCAACCAAACACTATGTAACACTTTTAATGGCATCCTGTTATGAATTATTTGTTTCCAAATATTTACATGCAAGATACAAAAGTTTTAAATCACTGTTAGAAATAAAAGTAAAATGCTAAACATGAAATAATATGTGGTATTCAAAATGATATGAATGAAGCCATGGTGTTAAAGCATACTGGAATATACTGTAACAAAGTTTAAAACAAAGTAAGATTTGCACATTTGGCTCAGTAACTGTTTTGATAATACTAGGTAAAAGCTTTAAGCATCTGCCAAAAAGAAACTGTAACATCTAGACTTCACAATTAGAGTATGGCACTAAACAATTATCAAGAACAGGTTAATGTAGTTTGTTTAAAAGAGTTTTATACCTAAAGTACTGGAGATGTTTTCATATGTTAACATTGATGCAGATGGACAAAGTCTCTTTAAAGCCTTACAGATGAAATATGATCTATTGTTAGTATTAACAACCTATAAATTTTGTAAAATAAATTGTTACATGTTCTTTGCTTTAATGTGATGTACCCTCACCAAGTCTGAGGAAAGAGTATCAAATCAAATATCTTAATAAAATCATATTTTAAAATAATGTATGCTTTAATAATTAGAATATAAATAATACCACATGAGGATAGATTGATCAGAATTATATGTAATACTGCCTTTCAGACTTCAGCCCAACTTATGTAAAACAAACAAAATAGTTTTTACTCAAGAAAATGAGGCGTGATGAGTACTTGTGTCAGGTAAAAAGCTTTAAACACTTTCACAATTAGAAAAAAGATCAACAAAATCTATACGTACAATATAAATAAATTTTATAATAAAAGAAGTACAACGATTTACAACTTTGATATTTCTTTAAAGCAAGGATAAGGACTGAAAAGCATAAGCTCCACTCACCAAAGAAAGGATATCCAAAAGCATAAGTGTGACCTAGTATGACCCATGTCATGCTGAGAAACCGAATACCATGTACACAACCAAGATGACCTTTAGGTGGGGTAGCATCCAATATCTTTGCTCCATTAGCATACACAGAAAAACAAAGAAGAATTTTTCCAATAATACCTAACACATGAGATAAAGAGATGAAATCAAAACAAACCTTAGTTTCCATCTCGTGTGTAGCATGAATTAGTTCCCATTAATATGTACAGCGCAGCTAGGAGTATTTTACCAACAATTACATCAATAGTTATAATTTTTATATTCCTGTTAGTTATATCACAAAATTTTCCTCACACTTACAATTCAAACTTACTGCAACTAAGTACATAGAAGGCAGAAAAGACTGATCTGAGAACCTAATGACTACTACACACATGTAACAGATTCACATCTAACTACACATCATCTGTAATTGCATCCATATACCAATGTGCATTATTAAACAAGTTCCAAGTACAAAGTGAAATCAACTCATCTATATTTATACAAATAATTTTCTAAAATATATATGTAACATATACATATATTTTCATAGTAATTCCATTAAAGTTTTCTTAATACAAGTAGGTCAAGAGAAGTATTATCTTAAAATAGCCTGACAATATTCAGTGCACATTGCAAAGCCAAAACATGTCATAGACTATTATATCAGTTAAAACTGATATAGAGCTATGAATTACTGAATACTGTAATATACAAGTTTTTTATGTAGATTTAAACACATACCTGGGGAATACAATGTTTCTTTTGAAATGAGTTTTTCAGTACAAGGTACAACAATTTGGTGCTGGTTACTATCCAGTGCAGCTGCCTGTTTTGAAATACTTCCTTCACTCTCAGCATAAAGAGTGTTGGTTGTATTATCACATTCAGGGTTAGAAAGGTCAACAGGATGAGGCACAGAACTGTTGTTTTCAGAGCCAGAATGATCAGGAGTAGGTTCAGAACACTTGACTAAACTATCTGCTTGTCCTGGTTCATCAGTAGAATACTGTTTTTGTTTGGTCTTTTCAAAAATTAATTTTATAATGACATCATAGGAAGTACCAACCACTAATAGGGCTCCCATAAAGGAATACAAAACCCTGGAAATATAGTAATAAAAATGTCATGTATACATTTAACAATTCACAAAGAAAAACTGATTATTAATTTGAATGATACTGTTACAGTGATAATTTTTAAATACTTATGTGGGATATTTAGAAAAGGTTATAAATAAAGCACCAATCTTAAAAATCTGCATTTGATTTTTTATTTCCATTTTATTCCATTACCTTCATGGGGTAACAATAAGCAAGAAAATAAAGGTATTGCGTAGCAAAAAATAATTTCACATATTAACTTAAAATGTCATTTAAAAAAGAATCACATTTAAAAAAAAAGTCATTGCTCAATATTTTTTTACATTCTTTAAAAAGTTGAAAGCGTTATCAAATCTGTGGGCTAAAATTACACTTATGTTTGGAACATAAAGAAAAAAAATTAATAGTCTTCTCTCATAAAAATATTTGAGTGTCACTTCATTTTGTTTTTACTTTTATAAAAGGTCATGGTACCCTCAAAATGTTATTTAGATGCTTTTGCCTTGAAATTCAAGTTTCTCAAATCATGCTGGAGAAGTTAAAATGCCTTCATTTGTATTAAATACATAACTAATGCTTAAACTTCACCAAAAGGAATTTTTTAAACATAGAGTTCATTTAAACACAACAGCATGGCTGTTATATGCATATGCAAATCACCTGGCATTTTAAACTTTCCTTGCTGAGACTTTTATAACAATGTCAAGTTTTCAGTGACATAATCGATTTTGGATAACACTCACTAGAACATAAAATCTATGACTATAAAAGTCATATATCACTGAATTATATGGCTATATAGAATAACTTTTTATTATCACAGTCTTATTTTTATTTTGAATACATCTGACCAAACACTACAGCTATTCCAATTTCCATAATATTTAATGATAGCGTCTAAAAAAATGGTTTAAATAAAGGCTATATATGGTGTCCCTAGATTCTACATTCTAAGGTCCTCATGTCATTTTGTAACAAATTTAAAGGGATAAAGTGCAAGTTCTGAGGGACATCCTTGAGACACATTGTTTTTTGTACTGAAAAGTATTTCTAAGAATGTATATTTAGTTGATGGGATAGGATTGTGTTAGTACTGATTTGCTAGTTACTTGCACATCAACCAAATGATTGTTACAACTCTAGAACACATTTTAAATTTCCAAAGCAAAATCTTAAATAATGTGTTTAGATGTGGCACAATAAGCATATGCAAGTTAGCTATGCCCAGCCCCACAACACCACAGAGTGACACATCACTAGTGCACTGATTTTACACTGTAAGAAGTAGTTAATAGGTTGTATTACATTAGTACAGTAATTTTGTATTTTATTACCCATCAGTAATGTAATTCATGCTACAAATGCTCTTATTCTTTATTTACTTTCTCTTATGCACAGTCTTATAATACTGAGTATAAAATAATCATACACATTACCATGATCAGTGTGGTTATTGCCAACCATGGAATCAAGGCTTGCTGATGTAATAGATAAATTTTTTGTGTCATTTTGGATCTGGTACAATTCCATGCTAGTGGCCCTCTGATCAAAAGTGAAAATTAAGGTATTCATGTTTCCTACTTAAAAATGTGTGTCACAAAGACTCGTTCAGTAAAATATAGTCCTACTCATGGAAATTTGCATTTGACAGGTCAAAATGGTAGGTGTCCTACAGAGTCCACAAGGTAACTGTTTTTTAAAGGTCATAAACTTAAAACCAAATATGCAAGATTTCCTTGATCCTGCACTCTTGGCACAACACTGTACTCATATATATTTGTTTACTTGTCATTAGTTTACCTTTTTTAACTAATTTCAGATCTAAAAAGGTATTTAAAATTACATTCTTCCACATGGTTTTTAAGACTATACACATTCCAGTTGATACAATATTATTCTTTGGTTTACAATATCATACACACTAATTTTAAAGATGAAGGTAAGCATAAATAACTAAATATTATCTTAAATGCATTAACAAAAGTTTTGCTGTTATATAGGGTTACTTTCATAGCAACTATTCCTAGGTTATTGAAACAGATAAACTGTTATACTTTGAAAATGATGTTCATCATAACTACACAGCTCTGTTCCATATCAATGGAAGCCTCTTCTCTTCAGTTGAGAAAAGAAACCTATAACTTATTTTGTTCTCTAATTGCCCTTAAATTTCACGCGAAAATGACCATAACCGACTACAAGTCATTCTACAAACTACTAACCCAGTGAAATTAAAATTTAACCTATTATAACTTGTTCTTTTATTACATTAAGAATATAGAGTTTGATAACTAGATTAGAAATCAACATATCCCTTGTCAATGCAAATTTCTTGTGAACTATATCAATGTAAAAAACAAAAAATATTGTAGCTAGAGTATTGGATTTGTAAGTAAATACAACATTTTCTTAGATGTGATATGTTGAAAAGTTTTAAACTTTTTAGATATCACCATAATTATAATTAACAATGAAGTTATTAAGTTTCCTATAAGAGCAAGTATCAGCACTTTAAATTAGTTAATAATTTTAAAAAATTGTTTGTGTTGGTTGGCAGACTAATTTCTCATCAATGAAATATCAAATTTACAAAAGAATGAGTTTTTGGAGTTACTTTAAAACAATTCTTACATTTTTTCTGTGATTTATGACCACTGAAGAGCTAAGCAACTTTCTTTTACACATCAAGTTAAAACATTATTTTTTACCATTTCATATATATATATATGTTTTTATAAACATAACTGACTTACAAAGCCACAATATCTGCAGCTTTCCATGGTATCGAATGTGATTTGCAAGTCACTGAACTTAAAGATACACTTTTCATTTTCCTCTTCAGGGAAGAGCTACTACCTAAATGTAAAAGATAATAAAGTGCAGTAAATACATAAAAAATATAAAAATGATAAACTATTTCATATTGAAATATAATTTTTTCCAGATTGAAATGTTCAACTCAAGTGGTTTTAAAACTTCTCCTTCTCTGTTTGGCTTACCGAGTTTAAAAAAGTACCTAATGGAAGAGGAATGTTCAGAAAAGCATATTAGTATTTGTCAGGTCAGGAAAACGAAGTATAATTTGAGTAAATAAATTACATACTTGGATATTTACTAGGAAAAGGCTTAAAGATTACATAGTAATCAACCACAGAAAAACAAATTTTTTTAAATTTTCCTCAGTGCCTTTTGTCACTATTACAGTTGTTAGTCAGCAAAATACTGCGAGTTATTATAATCTAAATTACAAGTATAATTTTGATGGGCATATCTTTAACAATTTTATATGGAAAAAAAGAATTTTGGAGCTTTGTCTAATCAGTCCCTTAAGCTAACCAAGCAGTGTGATTTTGCTAATCCTAGAGCAAGTAGTACTTTGGGTTATATTTACAGAAATACTGAATATAAGTGTAAGTATAAGTCATTAGTTAGGTGTCATTTGGAGTATTGTGTTCAGCCTTGGGTTTCTTGCCTTAAGAAGAACATTGAAAAAGGATCAGATGAGGGATACTGGGAAAAGTTATCATTCGTGGACAGGTTGAAATTTTCAAAACTATGTTCTATCAAAAATGAATAGTTAGTGAGGAATCTGATTCAGTTGTTCAAAATTATTAATGGAATTGACAGTATCATTGCATCATCTTTTTTGTAATTTGTTGGTGAGAGTGGCAGGGAAGTGATCTTCAACTTAGACAATTTTACTTTTCTAATAAGGTGGTTGGTCTTAGAGGTGGGTTACCTTTAGATATGATGGATGCAGTAAATTTAAATGAGTTTAAGGGTAAGCTTTATAGATATTTAAAGTATTGTGGCTAAGAAGCGTATGCTACAGCCTTGCTGGATCAACAGATCCCTTATTGTCTCTTAAATGTTATGATAAAATAGAAAATACTTCAAAGACAATAAATAATGACTAACTTTCTCAAGTTAAAAAACAAACAAACACTATGCCTAGACTTTAAGAAATAAATTAAACATTTCAAATTACATTGATAAAGTCCAGGAAAATAAGTTGAAGGAAATACACTGCTTGAAGATGATTATAAAATAAAGTTAATACACCTCAAGTGGTCAGTTAAAATTAGTTTTAATGTAACTACCCCTTTTCATAGCTATTAATGTCCAATGTCAATTTTGTCATAAGTTACTTTAATAATATTAATTCTCAGTTATAAATGAGAAAAATTAAAATATTGCAGCTAAATAATGTTACCAAAAAAATAGTCTTTTATACGGTATTACAAAACAAAGATAAGACTATATGATTGACCAAATATTTTCAGTAAATATAAAATAAATTTTCTACCAATTATCTTCCACAGTGTAGAGACTTCTTTTTGAATTGCATCATTCTTGCAGCTACTTGGCAAACAAAGACCAACAGTGACTGGAATGCTGACCTGAAAGTTAAACACTCATATATCATTTATAATGAGCATACTAGCTTACAATTATTTTATTCAAAATAATTTAAGCAGTCTTTGAAATGCTGTCAAAAAACTATCCAAGTTACAATTACTCACCTATACTAAAAGTTCAATGTTGGAATAATACCCCAACACATGTTCAAGGACATATCAAAAGGAATTATTTTATTTCCACTAACAGTACTGAATTTCTCTATAACAACAGTCAAAAGAGATTAAAGGAAGAGCTGAATCACAGCCCACCAACAGTCACAGTCTGCACTTTACCAGCAATCACTTGCTGCAAAAGCACAAGAGAGTAGGCATATATTTTGCATTTATTATATAAGCAGTAATTTACGATTAAAAGTTTGTTTCTGCCAACAGTGTGTAGTTTTTAACACTTTCAAAGATTATTTTACAAATTAATAAACAGGCATTTTCAATAACAGACTTTCAGACAAGTGTGCTAATGAAACTTGATCACATCCTGATCAATCAACAGCAACAAACAGCTTTGAATTGCCAAACGACACGTGGAGGGGATGGTAACTATGCTAGAGGATGTGCTTTTGAAGCCACGAGACATCTCTCACCAGTGGAGGAGTTTGACAAGAAGTTAGAAGACGATTCCTTTGAGAAAAAAAAATAGTAAATTATTTGGTCAATGGTTTAAATACACTGTAATGTGTATGTGTGTATAAAAGTTATAAAAAACTTTTTGAAATAATTGGAATGATGTAAGGATACCAATGCCAAAAATTTAAAGAAACATGGTAGGAATGAATACACAAAAACCATACAAAAATCCCTAAAAGAGTAGTGAAATCTTTCCAATAAAAACTTTAACTTATGACTAAATGTTGAACTCCTTTCATCCCTATGAATTCAGGTTTGAATAAAAACATTTAAACTGAATAATGCTATATAGTCTTACAATGGTTAATTCCCATAAGCTTGTAACATTGACTCAGTGTCTACTTATGTAGGGACTTTTGTATGGTTTTGTGTATTCATTCCTACTTTGTTTCTGTACTTTTTGGCATTGCCATCCCTACATCATCCTTGTTTTTTTTCAAAATTGTTATTACTTGTTTACCCTCTTTTTTTTTTTAAACAATACCAATAATTATTTTATAATGAATGACAGTTGCTATGAAGGCAGCAGTTTTAGCCTGGCATGATGAGTTCTCTTGATGGACATCATGTGTTGGAGTTAATGAAACACAATACTGTTTCCGCACTCCAAGTTTTGGTGTTTAAACCATCGCAACAACTTCAAGCATTGGTGAGCTAGTCTTTCTGACACAAAAACCAGAATAATTAGAAGAACATTTGGCTGTTACGCTACTTGACAGTTCTCTACTTTAACAATGTTTTCTTAACTAAAATGAAGATCTTAATAGCTTTTGAAAATCTCAAAAACCTAGGTTAGGTGTTTATAAAAGTCTCTTAGGTTGTTATAAGAGAGGTTTGAGACAACTACAAGCAATACATAATATGCATTGGCCATTGTTTTCTCACCCCATCCGTACATACTAAGCACTACCATGCTTAGTGATAATATATATGTAGTTGCATCACAGTCCATTAAAATAAATATTTTCTATATTAATTTTCTTTGTTTGGCTTTATAGGTTAGCATCAGAGGCTCCCAGGGTGGCGACACTTGTGGGTAAAAAATCTGGGAAACCTTACCAAAGATAGATATCTATAAGCTGTGGTCTGCTTACAACCTGAAGAGCAAAAAATAAAAGGCTCAAGGAAAACAAAAGGAAGCATTCAGAAATCTTCTACTTTTCAAATGCATTAAGAGTCTGTTCAAATTTAATCATTATCAATGCATAATGTGTTAATTTTGGTTTTAACACAGTAAATCTTAAAATAGAATGCAATGAGAGGCACATGATTTACAAGAACTAATGTATGAAAAATAAGTTATAAAGTTTGTGTGTGTGTGTATATATCAACTTAGTAAACTTCAAAGTACCAGTTGAAAATTTTTGAGATAATTATAAAATTCAATATTTAAGAGAATAAAACAGAAATTGTCTTACAATTAAACATTCTCAGGGTTTTTTTTTTCAATTTTATGTTTGTTGCAGGAGCATGCCAGACCAACCCAAAGGTAAAGAACAGTGCTAAAAAGAACCAGGTGGAAGAATTTCTGAAACATGCTCCCAATAAGCCAGGAGGAACGAAGAACAAGGTATGTTGGAGTCAATAATTCTAAAGTGAAGATTTATAATGGAGTTCTCTTACACTTTGTCACTGTATAATTAAAAACTTATGTTAATAAATATATATACATATATAAAGATGAAATGTGTGTTTGTTTGCACCCTAACCCCCCTGAGCTAATCTCAACCAAAATTTGTATGTAAACACTATGAACTATGGGGAATGTCCTAAAGGGGTCAAAATTGAACTTAACCCTATTTTGTATCTAGTAAAGCCTGTTTGTTAATTACTCTCAGCCTATTCGGTCAATCGGAAACAATCTTGGCAGGTTGACACTTCAGACAATGCTGAATATTCTAAAGGAATTCAAGGTCAACGTATGAAAGTTGCTGGATTACTTCTCAAAGAACCATGCTTTTCTCATGCTAAATGAGATGTAAGGTGTTCAAGGGTGGGATCAACTCAAAATTTTTGTTTGTATATGGAAAGCAAACTGTTGTTTATGAAGAAGATTTGTAAATAACTTTAAAATTTTGAGGTAAAGTTTATGTTAAATTTAGTACTTTCAAATATATGATTGCTGTTAAACTTGCACTGTTTTAATTAAGCTTAAATATTCCCCGTCAGTTGATGGGTATTTCAGCTTGTAATATATATATATATATATATGATGCTGGATATTTTGTAAAAATTATTCTTCAGCAAATAGTGCCCAAACATTGTACAATGATTACGTGGTAAAGGAAGAGCCGACTAATGAGGACTAAAAAAACCTCTAAATTGAAAAATGTAATCAATAAAAATTGCAATGAAATTTTAATTTTTTTTTATTGGAGAATACATGTTGAATAAATGTATGAGAATGAACTTAGATTAATTTATTATTTGATCAGATAATCGAAAGTTTCTAATCCAGTTTTCATTTATTTTTTAATATTTTACAGTAACTACTTCTATGTAAGAGATTGTATGACAAAGTTAGTATACTGTTACTAGAACAACACAAACAAAAAATTAACTTTTATGAAAAAACAACTATTGGATACATTTATAAGATTTAGACAGACAATAACCAAAAACAAAAATTTTAAGAAGTATGTGTTTTGCAAAAAAGCATCCAAAAATACATAACCATAAATATGTAAATACTGCCCCAAATGTTCAAGCACAAAGTAAGTATATAAAAAGTATGACCTAAGTTTCATACAATTAGGTTAAGTATAAGTGTGAGAACAATCATTGAGGCCATCCTAGTGGTCATGATAGGGTTAAAAAATAAATGGTGGCATAATGGTTGTAGGAAAGTAGCAATACAATGTCCAACCACAATGTCATAGCAATGATTCTGAGAGTCCACAGATTTAGGTTGCTGTAAAGTAAACCTCTAAGGTTGTGGCAAATTGTTGTTGCAGCAACATTGTCAAAATGTGAAAGTGTTAGCTGGGAAGGCATTGTTACTTTTCTAACAGGAAAGGCAACTTATAAGATAGCTTACCTTCATGTGTTTTAAATGCTGCAATACTGAAGGAGATTAAAAGAAGATTGGATTAGTATTTTGGAGACCAATGTTGGATACAGGCAAAGGGAGTTTCTAAATTCTATACCCAGTTTGTAGTAGGGTAGAAGTAGAAAATGGGTTAGCCTAGATGGGCTAAATGAATAAATGTTCCTTTCTAATAATTCATTCAAATCAGGGTCGGCCTTAGGGTGAGGCAACTGAGGCAACTGCCTCGGGTCTCACACCTCAGTGGCCAAGTTGATTGTATACTTCTAATATACAAACTTGAGAACCTAATCCTGAGTACTTGCCATAGGTCCTGCACCCTCCTAAGGACAGCCCTGGTTCAAATCATTACTAATAATATGCAAAAAAATTAATTAATGGTAAATTTCCCTCCTAAATATTTTCAAATCTGTTAGTCATGCACAAACTATATTCAACTGTAGTTAGTTAGTCAATAAGTATCAGTGTTGAGGCCTAAAGCAGCTTAAGAATAAGTTCAACTTGTATACCAGTTTACTATAAAGAGTTACATGTTTCCTTTGTTTTTGAATACTTACCGCTTTGGAAAATTGTAGCCCCCAGTTACTCAAGCAGTACTGCCCACTAAAATCACCAAACACATGTGATATGTCAGATACATTTACTGCAACCTGTGGAACTTCAACATCAACACATTCTTTGTAACTTCCAATCCACATAAAATTTCCTTTGAAGATTCCACTAGGTGGCTTCCCCATAGAATCGATCACTTGAAATGAACATTAAAAAATTCACAATATTTTATATAAGCTGTTACATCAAAACAAGAAAATAAGTCTGAAAACATAATAAAAATCAAAGAGAAAAACTAGAAGAACTACTAACAAACAGAATGAATTACTAGAATTAATATACTACTTGTTTTTTTTAACCAATATATGGTTTAATCTCAAACTAGGATGGGTAAGTTTTTCTGAGAAATGCTATCTAGAAATGTTAACGAATTATTAGTCGTGCTCTAGAAAAAGTCATAATGCAAAATATCCAAAGAAATATGGGATAAAAACTGGAACTTGAAAAAAAAAGAATTATATGCTCTAGAGCAAATGTAGCTTTATTACGCACATCTTTTTGTTTGTTAACTCTTTCAACCAGGGCTTGGTCCCTGGAACCGAATTTGTAACCATTTTGTGCTTGTTATAGTTTTCATGCTATAACTTTTAAATTAGTAAGCGAATATTAATGATATTTGGAGTTTATCAGTAAACATTACA